AAAATTGACGTAAGGATAAAATGAATAAAATGAGCAAAATAAAAGAAAGAAAGAAAAGATTCATTTTCACTTCTTCAAAAGGTATACAAAGTTTTTCTTTAAATGTGTGGATGTCTGCCAATTAACACCTTCAATGATTTTTTATACAAAATAATAGTAATAATATAAAAATGCATATACGGCCTAAGCAGCCACATGTCCACCACCGCTTCCCCCTTCATCTTCGCTCGGTTGATCCACCCCTCCATCTTCATCCCCAGAAATAACAAAATTGGAGGCAAATTAATCCATATCCAACCACTTGGGCTTGACCAGTCCTCCTTTCATGAAACGATTCATGGCTATGGCCAGACCAAACTAAATCTGTTTAGAAAGCTTCATCATGTGATCTTCCTTAGAAACCATTCCAGTGACCTTCTCCTCTAGCTCCTTAATCTTGGTGGTTAAAATAGGAAAAGAATTCAATGGACCATGGTATTCCACACATCGAAGGAAGATGACAAGGGTTATACTATCACGATGGAATTCAGTGTCACCTGTGTGGGGATGGCACGATGGCTATTAAAGACAGATCTAATCTCAGTGCAAAAGTCAGCCTCATACTGTATCACAACTAGTCCACATTGGAAATTATATATATTTATGTGTGTGTGTGTGCGCGCGTTCCATATCTTGTTATTTTTTTATGACAAAGTTGTTCATTTGAAACTAGAAAGCAATTGATATGCCATTAGCAAATTTCCATCATTCGACATGAATGTAAAGGCACAACAAGAATCTCAAGGCAATTTTGAGCAAAAAGAGTTTAAAATTCAATAAAAATCATTTAGAACTTTGATTTCAGCAGACTTACAATCAACTAACAACGAGATGAGATAAACTCAGTTTTACCAACATTGATCTAATTTTAGTCAAATTAACCAAAAATGAGCCATTAAATCACTTTTAAAATCTTTCAGTGCATAAGTGGAAGGCCAAATAGATATTAAATCCAACAAATTTATAGTCAAATCAGACATTTCGGTTAGGCGAATCCAACAAGCCCAAGATTGCTCAAGTCAAACATCATTAATGTACTCAAATGTTCATTGTTTGTTGTCTGATCTAGGAAATCACTCCAGACCATCAGATGGAGTAACCTGAATTCCGTCCTAATTTGCAAAGATACCTCTCCCATATTTTATAAATAGAGCCATGCCCCCTCTTGAAGGGGGAGATCTTTAGTCAGAGGAAGGTTAGAGCTTGGAGAACGAGTTGAAGTCTATCATCACATCAGCATCGTAGATCCCACGAATATCTCCCATTCATGTAGCTGCCAACCACTGTCGATCACCTCTGGCCAACTATCATCGACCACCATTAGCCACATGTTCTCCTTGTAGTAAAGTCTTTTGTGGAGCCACAACGTGCAATGTGAAATTCTAGTGTACATTGCAGAGTAAGGAGACATTGTGCTGAACAACACACCCAACATACAGTGCAATGATGTATGACAAAGATGGTGTAACAATGCACACTAAATACAGCGAAATGACACGCTCTGATAACAGTTTAACAATGCACCCTCAATAAGTGCAACAATGTCTGTCGAAGACAGTGTAACAATACATCCTGAAAACCATGACTCTTTCTAGAATTCTAAAGCTCTCTTCTGAAACCAACCACTATGGTCTACATGACGAACTACAATCTATGTGGTTTACAGCTTGTGTAGCTCTCAAGTCAAGTCCCTATGGCCAACAGATGTCATCACAACTCACCATTACAACCTACGTGACCAACTATGTCCAACGTGGTCCACAACTCATGTAGTTCTGGACTCTGATCTCTGCGACCTATGAGCGACATCATAGCTCACTACTACGAACTACTCAACCAACTATGACTTACGTGACCTAGAGCTCGTGGAGCTCTTGAAGCCAACCTTTGCGGCCTACGGACGACATCAAAGCTCACCAGTATGGCTTATGCAATCAACTATGACTTACATAGTCCATAACTCGTTTAGCTCTCTACTCCAGCCTCTGCAACCTACATATATCATCAAAGCTCACCACCATGACATATGTAATCAACTACTACATATATGATGTATAGCTTATGCAGCTTCTGACTCTGGCCCTTGTGGCCTATGGACGTCATCAAAGCTCACCACTACGACCGAAGTGATCAACTAAGACCCATGTGGCTCACAACTCATACAGCTTCCAACTACGACCTCAGCACCCAATTAATGCTCCTAAAGCAACCATCTGTGGCCCACACAATTACTACCATGGACTTAAACTACAGTCTATACGACAAGCTAGCGCTACAGTTACGATCTACAACATTCACGATAAATTACTATTTACATAACAATTGACTATAGCCCTATTACTAAGAACTGTATTTAATACAGTTAGATTGCAACTATTATCAATGAACGATTATTGTACATTAATAATGATCAACTTTATAACTTTATCTTCTCTAATTCAGGAGAAGAGTGAATATGTGTACTTGTCATTCATAGTGGATTGTTTCAATTAGGTTAGCCTCTTTGGTTTTTCCCCCTTTCCAGAGTTTTTTCACATAAAAAGTGAAATTTCTCCTCTTACTTATTTCTCTTTAATTACCAGGTATGTGATGAGTTTTCATGCACCACTAAGATGATATTCTATTACTCTATCATCACGGAGCTTCCAACACACATCAAAGATGACGTGGGTTTGCCCAATTCTTATGATGCTAAATATGTCCGTTCATACCATTTTGTTGTATTGTTATCATTTATATATGTATTTTTATTTTATTTTTTCTGTCTAAGCCTTTCGATGCTTTAAAAAACTATATTTATTTTGTAATAAAAAAAAAAAATTGTAGATGATTCTTGCAAGCTTAAAGAGGCGAAGGGCTTATTTTTCTTATTTTGTTCATATAAGACAAACATTGAAACCATGTTTTGGCAGTTCTTTTATAAAATACAATTCTTCCATAAGATTATCTATACATGAGTTACAAATACTTTGAAATCAAGTGAATAAACAAGCTTATTAAAATAAACTCCAATAATAAGAGCCGTGCGAAAAGATGTGAGTTATCGTTGAAAGCTAGGCTAAGTTGATAAATGTAAATATAAATGTCTCTCTCATACGTAAGAATTGTGTTGCTTAAAATTATAATTTACATTACAAAAATGGCCGGCGCTAGGCCTAAACGATCTCCAAACATCCCTCTCAACCATGCTAATCAAATAGCCCTTTTGCTCCCAAACAGCAAGGGAAACAAATCCTCTCCTAAAAATGACTTCACAAATTCGTTCCCTTTCACTCTCCACCATCTGCCAAATCCTCCTTCTCACTCTTTCGATAAGCATCAAATCACTCGCGAACTCGCCGGAGAAGAAGACCTCCGCCTTTTTCATC